TTTACTCAAGGAGTGTTTTTGACAATAAAAAACCACTATATAACTTTAGAAGAAGTTAGGGCTTAATCACTTTTTGTGTAGTTAATAGCAATTAAGTGACCCTCAAGAAAGAGCTCTCGAGTGGAACTGGAGCTCCACTTTGCTGTTACTTTTGTTAGTTTGCTGCTTGTTGATTTATTCATAGGTGTCACAGCTATCGCTTTAAAAGCCATTAAAAAGCTGTATTTGAATGAGGGCTGCAGTAGCCAATTCAGTCACAGCAACACATGGCGTGCTGCAGCTGGGCTTCAGCCTGTATAACTACAGATGGTTTAAAGGGTCAAGAAAAATGTATTCATGACGTAAAAAGTGTCGCTAATAGTTTATTGCATTATTAGCAGGTTAAGTTATTAATGTTGAGTTTATAACAGCACAAAAACAAATACAAATAAACATAAACACAATAAAAAGTGATGGTTTATGTTACAAAATCGGCACAGGTCAGATGCACGCAGATAAAAAGACAAGGTTGAAGTTTACTTGATAGTTTGGTAGTGTTACAAAGAGCGTAGTCATAACAGGCTAGGGTCAGTAACAGAGAAGGACAAGAAGGACATCCAGAGATAAATCATAAACCAGTCCAGGATCAAAAATGAAGAGCACAAATAGTACACAACAATCCAACCAAAAAGGACAGGTCAAAAACACGACAAACAGGTCATACGCAGAAAAAGCTTTACAGACAAAGAAGACTCAGTACACACTTGAAGGAGTTGGCAAGACTCCAGTGAACTAAACTAAAGCCTGGGCTTTTGCTGCCTTCAAGTCCTGTTGGAGATATTGGAATTCCAAGATTAATGCACATGAACACCACCGCAATGTCGTATTTACTAGTGGGAAATTGATTTTTCGAAGAGCCCTGGGTTTCTGAGTTGGGGCGTGTCAACAAAAACGTAATGGTAATAGCTGATAAACTGGCTGTATTTCAGTTTCACCCTTAACACTTTACCTTAGCAGCTTTACACATCATCGTTTCAGATGCATAAGACTTGTGTGAGTATTTTCATATACAGTCATTGCTTCATGTAGAAAATGAGCTCTGACTGCAGTTTTCTTTTTCATTCGTTTCTGTCTTAAGGCCCCTTTCAAAGTGTGAGCAGCTTTAAACGGTTATTATTCTAAACCCTGCTAGAAAAGCCAGCATAGGCCAGCATCCCTGGTCACCAGCAAAACCAGCATATGTTGTGCATATGATGTGGGAAAGCATTCCCAAGGCGGAATGTGAGTGTTGGAAATATTCTGTTAAAAATAGTACATGGATGCAAGAGTGGCAGAAAGCATATTCAGCTGTTCGAGACACTAAGATCAATATGGACTCAGATCTGTCGGGAGAAGCGCTTTCAGTGGGAACTGCACTCCGTCTGATTTTAGAAAGCCATTCTTAGCAGCACTTGATGTTTTCACCAGTACAGCTGGCTGCCTTTGATGAACAAAACCCACTGACTTGATTCCTGTGCACTCCCGGGCTCCTTTCCCAAACCCATCATCATAAAAATCATTTTTTAAGATGACAGAGTCAGGATCAGTATCACAGTATCAGTCTGTACACTCTCTTACAGTTAATACTGAGAAGCTGCAGTTTGCCTGCAATAACAAAAGCATGGTGTAATTTTATATGAACTGTATCTGACTCGTAGCTTGTTGAAAAAAGTGGAGGAATTCTGTAGAAAGTGATTCTGAACTTTCAACACATACTACATTTGTGTTTGGAAGTAGACAATGTGATATTTTATTATAATTCAAATTTGATGAAAAGTTATTTTTGTACTGTCTTGTATGCAGAAGAAAAGCACATTGTTTACATTTCACGGTTTTTTTTTATTAAATCAAACAGAAAAAAGTCAGGAGTGCAGGCTTAAACTTGCGGATACAGAATGTAAACTGAACACAAACAATTAAGGTAACACTTTATTTGGGGTGGTCCTTTGTAGATAATTAATAAGCTTAACAGAGTATCAGTAACACATCAACAACATATCAGTGACTCAGCAGTAGTGCAGCATCTGAATACATTGAAGTAAATATCTTGTAGATGTTCTGTTGATACGTTACTTACATTAAGTAGATGTATTGCTAATATGTTACGTCCATTACACAAAACCTAATCCTCACCCAGGCTCTAATCCTAACCCTCATGTGTTTTTGACTGAGAGAGTCTGTTGAGTGTTTGTTTGCATCTGAAATGGACCACTCAACATAAAGAGTCCCCGTAATGAATTTTGAAAGTAACTAAAAAGTAATTAAATTAAACGTGTAATTACATGTGAACAGTGGGGGAGAGTAGGGCACAAGTTGTGTGTCGATTGCTGAGTTGTGTGTATAATTCACAGAATTCATCTATGGCTAGCCAAGCTAAAGTTCAGCTTCCACATGGCAGGGTTAGTTTTAACACAGTGTTACAACTAAGCGCCCTAATATAAACACTGGTAGAATGCAGATTCATCCAAAAAAAAAAAATTATATTTCAGTTTTATCACACTGACATTAGCTCTTCTTCTTTGTGGTCAAAAATATATCACGTTTGACACAATCTCTTTCTCTATCTCCTGTTTTCTACATAATTTAAAAATTGCCCTTTATGTTGTGTGCAGACTTCATGATGAAAGGATCAATACAGATAATCCAAAAGTACTTGGATAAAAAGATCTTATTACATATAAATACATTGAAAGTATAGTAAAGTAAAGTAACGTGTTATAGTTTTGCTCGTATCTGTGAGTGTGTGTGTGTGTTATATATATATATATATATATATATATATATATATATATATATATATATATATATATATATATATATATAGGTGTGTGTATGATACTATGCCACTTCAAAACACAAGTGCTTTAATGTGAGCGCATTGTCAAGGACGTATTGTTAAGTACGTGTTTGAGAAGGCAGGTGTAGCGCAGCTTTATTGCAAACTAGGCTAACTGTTCTAGCTGATATTCGCAGACGTTAGGTCAGTAAACAGTGGAAACATATTTCTCTGACAAACTTACGTGTTGGCACATCTTCCACTGAGGAATCAAGACCTCATGTAGAAGATGAGTCCCTATCAGCATCCAGTAAGTGTAAGTTGCAGCTTTAGCTAACATATGAAAAGGCAGCCTCCGGGCTCAAAGTGTGCCAAGAAAACATCACACCACCTCCACCAGCCTAGACAGGTTGGCTCTATGGATTCATGCTGTTGGCACCAGATTCTACCCCAACCATCGGTGTGCCTCAGCAGAATTTGAGATTTGCAAGACCAGGTCATGTTTTTCTGGTCTTCAACTGCCCGATTTTGGTGAGCCTGGGCCCACTGCAACTCAGCTTTCTGTTCTTGGCTGAAGCTGATGTGGTCTCTTGCTGTTGTAGCCCATCCACCTCAAGGTTCGATGTGCTGTGAATTCTGAGATGCTTTTCTGCTCACCACTATTATACAGAGTGGTTATCTGAGTTACCGTAGCCTTTCTGTCAGTTCAAACCGGTCTGGCTATTCTCCATTAACCTCTCTCGTTAACAAGGCATTTCCGTCAGTAGACCTGCTGCTCACTGGATGTTTTTCTTTTATTGCACCATGCACAGTGAGCTCTAGAGACTGTTGCATGTGAAAGTCCTGAGAGATCAGCAGTTATAGAAATACTGAAACCAGCCTGTCCAGCTCCAACAAGCATGCCATTGTCAGAATCGTTGAGACACACATTTTTCTTCATTCTGATGGTTGATGTGAACAATACCTGAACATTTTTAGTGAAATCTGGAAACTGCATTCACCTTATTTTCATGTTCACCCTGCAGTCATGTAGTTTTATATTCAAGTTAAATCATTGAAAGTAATAAAAACTTTCTGATGAAGCTTATTTTGTCCACTCATATAGCTTTTTGAATAGAAAAAACTCTTTCTTTATGGTTTTGGGTGTATAAGACAAATGGGATTAATCATTATTAACAACACAAACTCAGAATATAAGTAATAAGTCTCGACTTAAAAGTTACAATGAACTTAGCGCTCTAATGCTCTTGGAGTGCTTGTATAACATAAGCCTAAATCTGATCAGTCACTGGTGGTCAGTATGTCTAGGTTTTTTGTAGTCTGACCAATTTGGTTGGTCACGTTGGTTATAAGTGGTCCGTGTCATGGCCAATAGAGTGCCGTAAAAAATTCTGTCGGGCTGACTGGTGCAGATTTTCTCAGGAAAGCCTTGTTTTCCAATAGGAACATGGATTAAAGCATTATTGTGATTGAATCGAGTCTTGGCAGGAGCACTACTGCGTTAATGATCCAAAGCAAACACATAGCATGTTGGAAGAATCTGTTTTCCTGATAAGGTGCTTCCAATTACCGCACCGTCAGCCCTCCTCACATCTATTCATTAAAGCGCAGAGCAGTTAATTCTGCATTAATTTCAGCATCTGCTTCCATAAGATACATTTGTCCTAGAACAGGTCGGAATTATATTTCAGACCAAACAACGTTGATGAAAGCTACATTCTTATTATGTAGGACAAGGAAGGGATGGGGAATTAAGTCGCTTGAATGGCTGTCATTTGATAAAAGTAAGCTGCCTTCAAAGATCATTCTCTCTTAAGCCTCTTACTGTACTGTTCCACACATCATATAGATTGAGATATGAGTCACAGCTTTCAGAAGGGAAAAATCAGTCTGATGAATTATTAATTCTTTTCATGTGTATAATGCATACTTGTCTGATGGACAAGCTGGCCCACAGTTGGCACACATTTTTAAATCTTTCCAACAGAAAATGCTCAAAAGTGGGTTGCTTATCTTCAATGATTCGGCTTATGCAAAGTTAAGACTGGTGTAGAAAAATTAATTGGTGTCTCATGCATTGAGATAAAGTTTAAGCAAGAAAAAAAGTAAAAATGTTGATGTTTATTTTTCCTTAAACTTCTGTTTCTTAGCCATGTATGTAATCTGTAATTTGTCACATATTAAGGAATCCCTCATTTTCTTTCAGAATGTGTACTACACCAGCTCCCAGCAGTTGCGTGTGGGTGTGTTGAGTCCGACGATTGATGATGATGATAATAAGTGCCTGGTGGACGTGAACGGACGCCCGCGGCTTCTGGAGTGCAGCTACGCTGGAAACAAGCACATGAAGCTCTCCTGGACGTTTACTCAGGTTTGCTTCTGTCATCCAAACCTGTGGTCCTGTCTCACAAAACCCTACTCCTGTCTCTAATACCTCTGCTCCTGACCCCCAAACCTCTGCTCCTGTCTCCTGTACACACTTAAAAAGATGGTTATTCAAGGATTTTTTTAGTAAAGAAAAATGTATAAATAAACTTTGAAGATGAACCATAATTAACTGTTAGCAGGATTTTTGGGACAGGAGTAAGGCTTTGTGGGACAGTAGCAGAGGTTTGGGGGACAAAACAGTGTTACACTTAAAAAGGGTGGTTCTTCAAGGGTTTGTTAATAAAGAAAATGGTTCCATACAGAACCAGGAACACTCAAAGAACCATTTGCATGATTGCAGGGTTCTTTGCGTCATGAAAGCGTTCCTCAGAATAACTAAATAACAACTAAATAATTCTATATAGAACCATTTTCTTGACTGAAGAACCCTTGAAGAACCACATTTTTTTTAAAGTGTACTTCTGCTATTGTCCCCCAAAGCTCCCCTCCTGTCCCCCAAAACCCCTACTTTTGTCCCAAATATCTTGATAATAGGGAATAATTGTTCATCTTCAAAGTGTACCTATATGGTAGGTGTTTCTGCTAAAATGGCCAGTGAAGGCAGGTACAAGGTAGGTGTTTCTAATAAAGTGGCCAGTCGTAGTTTAACTATGGCAAATGTGTCCTGCAGAGAGTGAAATTCGGGTGTCTAAAAGGCAGTACTACAGTGTATGTGAGAGGTGGTGTGAATGGCTAGCCTTTGCAGTCATCTGCAGTCATTATTTGTCCTCAGAATAGTCTTCAGCACCCCCTTCACGTTAAAGGCCATTATTCTTCACCAGCTCGCTGCCTCATTAAGCACTGCTGTCCCCCAAGCCTGCTCATTATCACATCACTGCTTTAGTAAATCTTTAGTAAATGTCAGAATCTCTGTCTAAGTCAAAGAAGTCCACAGATTCCTCCCTTAAACTTTCAGACATTGATCTTTGGCTAGAACCAGCTGTACGAACTGTTATCATTCATGTTAAGATAAAAAAAAAAAAATCTTTTTTGCAATTTCCCCTTTAAAAGTAGATGAAATCTTATATATCTTGGTATGGTATAAGAATATTATAAGATTATTAAACCTATTTATGGGCACTAATGAACTAATTCTGCACTCCTGTATAGAAGTCCACCACCATTCATTTATTATTTCTAGTCAAAATGTGCGGTAAGTACAAGTTATTCATTAGCAGAAAACATATTTAACAGAAAATTAGACAGAAGCCTCAAAACCTATATATTATATTTTTTAGTATATGTGTGTCCACCTTTATTACAGCTTCCATTCTTTTCAGGAGACCCACCTTCAGTTTTTCACACCTCAAAAAATCACAATTACAAGTTGGTTGCGTTTTCTTACAATCCGAGTAATCCCAGTTACCAATTTAGACTCATCAGTTCATAAAACCTTTCTGCTCAGACACCCAGGTTCGGTGTTCTGGTGCAAAGGCTCTTTTTGTCTATTTCCTTTCCTATAAGAGCTTCTTGTCAGCTACACATCCTTTCAGACCCATAGCGCTGAGTCGTCCTCTCACAGTGGAAGGATGGACAGAAACACCTGTGGATGTTTTCAGATCTGAAGCAGCTTGATTTTCTCCTCTCTCTCAAAGATGAAAAGTGCTGGTCTGATAGGGGGGATTGTTATTTTGGTGGTCTACTAGGTCTTAAACAATGGTTGTTTTTGTGGTCTATCAGGTCTTACATGGTAGTTATTTTGGTGGTCTACCAGGTCTTACACTGTTATTGTTTTGGTGGTCTGCCAGGTATTACGTGGTTGTTGTTTTGGTGGTCTGCCAGGTTTTACATGGTTGTTGTTGTTCTGGTGGTCTACCAGGTCTTACACAGTTGTTGTTTTGGTGGTCTACCAGGAGTTATATGGTTGTTAGGAGTCTCAGTTTCCCTGTTTCGTTTCATAATGGTTAGAACTCCAGTTTTAGAAACTCTTATTTTTTCACTCTTTTTAGTTTGTTTCTCTCCTTCCGTGTTTAAGTGGGTTATCTTGTATCTAATGTCCTGAGTAACATTTTCTGAAAAATGTATAACTTGTATTTAATGGCTTATTCAACTGGAAATTAAATAAATTAAGGCTGGTCCCTAACTTTTGCGCAGTATTGTACTTCCTTCAAGCATTATGTCTTTAAAGAAAATTGTCGGTGCAGTGAGACAATTTCACTTGATAAAATAAAACAAGTATAAATGTCTGTAAAAAGGTTTAATAGTCTTATAATATTCATAACACTTATAATGAGAAATATTAGAGAAACTGCCTAAATTTGAGATGTGTCTGAGATGCACTTGCCAAAATCCCATTTTTTGCAGTGCTGGATGTTTTTCAGATATTAAGTGTTTAGAATTCCTTTGGGTTTCCAGTGTCATGCCTCAGGAACACCTCAGCTAATTCAATTCCCACCCTGTTCTCCAGCACTGCAGACATATCAATTTCCTCTTCTCCTTGCATCCTGTTCCCTTCGCTAGCAGAATAATGCATGATTTCTTTATTAGATATGAGGCGGGAATTAGCGTGCCAGTCTGTTCATGTCAGGAGGTGTCATCTCCAGGGTGTGCGCAGCATCTGAGCTGGTTATTATAGCCTGATATGCCATCACCCTGAAAGCGGTGTCACAGTGCACTAGCGATCCAGCGCTATCCTGCGTCTGTGCTGACAATAGCAGGCGGATCAAAAGCGCTCAGACTGGCCCTGGGGACCGTGTGCGATTTCATACCTCAAACGAGGCGAGCGCTCCTCTTGGCCGTTTGACGCCAGCAGCCTTTTCCGCCGCACTCAGATGGAGAAAAAAAGTCAAATCCACCGTGGCCAATTCCAGACTGTGAATTATTGATAAAGGGGCCAATGAGAAAGTGAATTGTCTTTGGGCCTGTGGGAAAGGCTCCCAAAATGAGCTCGGATCAGCTCGCGTCTGCTAACCATCTGCTTTTGTCCTCTAAGTAGGGCTGTTTCTGAACATTCGGGATCTCTAAGTGACATACTGCTTGGGGGCCTCACCTCCAGAGGGGTTAACTGGTACCATATTCTTAATTTCGTGTACTCAAGTAAAATATTTATGGACTTTTCTAAGTATCAAATGCTAACACTTTTCTATTCTAGTATATCGTCAGTGTCCAAAGAAAAAAATGTCTCTCCATTTTTGTTGATTTTTATTCATTTGAACAGAGCAGCTGCCCTTTACATTGTATGAGAATTTCATGATGAATGGACCTATAAAAATGCTCCAAATTAGCTTGGAATAAAATCTCTTTACATTAATTTACACTAAAATTTAATGAAGTTTTTTTTCCTGTAAAGTTTGGAGATACTGTTTTTTCTTTGGACAGGGATGATATTTGTCACAAAAGGCATCTATTTTTTACTAGAGCTAATGATATTGAATTACTTCAGTACTACTAACTAAAAATTTTAATGTTATTTAATAGCAAATTTCAATACCTATGTGGTCGGTCTCATCAACATCCATGCTTGGTCCAAAATCTAGATTGGTGATTGGCTGTTTAGCCACCCATTTTAATACTGGTTTTAAAAAGTCCACTTTGGCTTGCCTTTCCCCTCAGGGGGAATCCCAGGCACCACCTTAAGGGCCGTTCCATTACTTTGTTAGTGAATTGATTTAGATGAGATCTCAAGAAAGACTTTAGCAGTACAAATTGTCCAGAAATCATTGTGATCTAACACATTTCTCTTTTCAAACCTAAAAAAAAGGCAGACAAAGCTGTGTCCAGCAGTAGAAAACTTTAAAGTGCTTTATGTTGTGGCATCGGCGTAGAAAGAGATCCAGGAGAGATCATTATTTCTGCCATGAGAAGTGCTTTTTTATTGACACCAGCAGAAAAGGTGCATGCCATACAGACGGAATGGCAAGGAAGGTCACTACTGGCCATATCGCTTCACTGTACAATAGACACACAACCCACTCGAACCTGCAGTCAGACACAATAGAACACCCTCAACTCATACACACAACTTTAACTAATGAACAACATTAACAATAACAAAAACAGCAACACATGTGCTTCTCAGTGATGGGGCGGTGCAGCTTTGCATACCATGCCACTTCTGAAATGTGGAGCGTGTGCTGGACGCCACAATATTTGTAAATCGTAGCATCTGATTTGCTGGGCTTTAACTACTTCATGTGTTATACATCACTGCTAATGTAACGTCATTACTAGTGAGCAAGCTAAAGGCTACATGGCTAACAATAACAGAAATAAAGGCAGTACACAGCAGTTCTGAACCGAAGCTACAGCCAGACAACACATTTATTCACAGACATTATGTATGTTATATTCAAACCTTTAAAAAAAACAGGTTGCACTACAAAGTTTGCATGGCTACCTCCGCTTCTGCTGCTTACACAAGTGGTTACTTGTGTAATGTAGGTATGACGCGTGTCTGAGTCAGAGTTAGTGAGGTTACCCTAAAAAAAGGAAAGAAACAGGCCTAAATGACTTTCTGTTTGTGTGTTATTAACTTCAGCAATTCTTGATCAGTCTGCAGCTTGTTGCATATCTAGATACCCCACTTTCATCTCACACTCCTTTCTGGTTTAAGCCACACCCACGTTCTCTTTGTAATTTAAAAGAAGGCATAGAAAGGTATCATACAGGAATCAGTATCAAAGTCTCAGTATTGGTATTGAAAACTTTTGAACGATACTCAGTTCCACTTCACTCATTTAGTTCCTTTTCTGGGTTTCATTTTGTTCTGCGACAGTAGTTCAGCATCTGTGCTGCTTTGTGATTGGAGATTGACTTTGGAGCTTGATCCTTTTATTTTATTCTTATTTTAGGCTGATAAATGCTGCATATACTAAAGAATTCCACTACGGTTCTATAAGTTACTTAGCATTTAAGTACAACCCCAATTCCAAAATTGGGACGGCGTGTAAATAAATGTAAATACAAACAGAATGTGATGATTTGCATGATTTGCATCTCATACAC